GGAGATTATGAATGAAAGATAGAAATGTATAGTAGGGAAAACACTAACTGCAAAGAAACCGATTCGGAATGGCTGTATGATATACGATGGAACTTATTGTTCCTATGTTGCTTTTAATGTTATGTGTTTGTTTTTGTTGATGTGTTTATGTGTTTAAATAAAAAAAATTAAAAAAAAGAATAGTATACAAGGTTTAATTTTGAAAAAAAAATGCTTGTGTTGACACCACGTGACTTAAAATAGCAAGAAGCGGCAAAAGTACTTTGGGCAATTATGCAGAAAAACTGAAACTCAATAACTAGTAATAGATATCTGTTAGACAGAAAGTTATGATGATTCACCTAAGAGCTATTGTCATCTGTATTTTATTATTGAAAGATTATTGAAGTGATCAAAATAGTTCAAGTTTCATATGTTTTTATATATGTTCAGTTTCAAAAACTTCTCATATCCATGTATTTGTGGCTCATTTTAGTTTATATATATTAACATCTGGATATAGGATGGAAGAGAGCTTCAAAAATGCAGTTTAAGCATTATATAATTCAGCATATCTGTTTTTTCAGGTATACATAATTTGTTTGTATTTCCTGATCCCCTGCAAATTTAAATTCACATTGAAGAATTAATGCATCACAAATTAAGAAAACACAGCAATTGTTGCTTAAAATATTTCATAATTTTATCCTATGCATTGTTCTAATTAAGGACTACATTTCATATAGCAACAGTCTTCTATTGCTTCAGAACTATTGTCAAGGGCATTAGAAAATTATAAACTGGGACATTAAGCATTTTGTAAAAAAATAATAATAATCCATCCAAGATTGAGATTTCAAGTTTTTATTACTTAATGACCTTATACTCAAATGACTTATATGAACTGGAACAGATTCTGCATACCAATATTATAGCATTGAATATAAACCAAGTTCCCACTTAAAAATATTATACTGGCAATATGCAATTATTGTGTTTAAAACCTTTTCTGTCCAAAATTCCTCAAGCTATTTAAATTTCACGACCTTCCCATTTGAACAAAAAACTAAAATTGAGGTTATAGATTCACAAATGAAAATCTTTTGTCCTTAATAGCCTTTAGTTTGTCTTGCTAGTACGATCATCTTATTCTTTCTCAATTTTTCTTCAATTCATTTAGAATTTTTTCCTGCTGTTCAGACATCAATTGGCTTGCTTTTTCCAAAGAAATAATGTAGAAGTTTAATAAAATTACCATACAATATTTGGCAACATTCAACAAAGGTTATTTCATTAGTCTAATTGTAGATTTGAACACTTCATTAATTTCCAAACATCTGAAAATGAAAGGAAAAAAGTTACTGATGAAAATGTAATTTCTTATATTGTTATATGTAAAAGAATAATAACCTTTTCCCACAAGATATCCTTAAAATATGATTTTCCCATAAATCCTTGATCAATGCAATCCTATTAACTGGCTACAGGCCGCTGGATTAAGAAAAGATGTAAAACTCAAAACTGCAGAGATACACATGTTCCTCACCCCAAATTGTAGATCCATTCTTGAGTATTGTCCATAAATTGTTACCAAAATATAATGTTTAATCTCAGGAAGATTAAAATTGAATGGATTATATACTTTTCATTACAGTTGAGCATACATTGATACTTAATGCTACATTTGCATTTAAGTCACTCACAGGTCTATGAATAGTGACCCATCTAATTCAATAACAAGCAACTTGATGCTAATCACATTTCTTGATCTACAGTCCAGGGGTGACTTCCAGTAATCTCTACTGCTGGTTTGCTCATGGGTGCTGCACATGCACTTGATACAAACTTTGTGCACATGCGCAGTGCAATATAAATTGTTCTGCGCATGCGCAGAAGCAAAAAACAAGATGTCAGCACTTAGGGTGCCGCCCAGAGAACTGGTTTGGGGGTGGTGGTGGCAGGCCTGGGTCGTTGCCAGTTCCAGTGATCCAGGCCACCAAATCACTACTGGTTCGGCCAAACCGGTCTGAACCAGTAGGAGCCCACCACTGCTACAGTCACTATCCTGGCCATGCTGGCTGGAATCAGAAGCTGGAATCTTAAACATCCAGGAGATGTCTGGTACCAGGTTACTGGTATCAAATTAACTGCAAGTTTGTCTGGGATTGTTCAGACAGTCAGCTTACCTCTGCATGGTGGTCATCAAGGCATGAATAACTACACTACTCACAAGCTTATGCACTTTGCAGAAATGAACAAATTGGGAGGAAAGAAAGAGAAGTCAATGCCAAACTCATCCTACCACAACCAAAATTGGAAATCTGGAAATGAGTGTTAAGTTTTTATATCTGCTCTGAACTCCACATAGTGGTCAAATTGTAACTTGTAGTTTATACCTTCTGCATTTGGCCCAGCAGAAGTATGGTAAGGTACTCTGAGGTTGAAAGTTTACCCCTTTCACTATATTTTGAATATTAACTGTCCAATATCTTTATATGTTATTTATTATACGGCTACATGGCCTGATCCAAGTAATGTTTAGCATCAGATGTTCTTTATACATAGATGTGTAATGGTGGATAGTGGAAGAAGTCAAAACAAGGGGCATTATCTATGCAACTGCAAGGAAAGGTGTTGAATGTGATAATAGGGAGGGAAACCTTGGGCAAGGTCAGGCAGAAAAGACTGGTGGTTTAAATTGATTGGTTCACATTACAGGTGGGGAATTCAAGAGATCTCAGTGGTTGAGCTGTCGGACAGCTTCCTTTAAAAGAGGGAGCTGTAGGACAGCACCCGCACTTCTTTGTACCGATCTTCCAAATAAAGAGCTGTTGTTTAGCGAAGCGGTCTGCCTCTTCACTTGACCCACACTTAACAAAAGGAGCAATGTTTGCAATGTTTATATTAATTTACAGTATTACATAGTTGGCTAATTCAAATAATGTAACTTGGCAAAAAAGCATCTTAAAAAGGTGCTTTTAAAAAAATGAAAAACTACTTACAATAGATGGATGAGCATTGCTGATTATCTTTTCAGGGAATAAAGAATCACTTTGCAGGTTTTCTGGAAAAGCAGAGCCATTCTCATCCATGTTATTTGGTGGAGTTTTGTCAAATGGAGTGCTGTGAATAAAATAATGTAATATAAACTGGAGTCAATATATTGGCAAAGGCTTTAATGCAATACATAAAAATGCTACAGCTTGGAAGAATGAGAAACTTACTCTTGCTCAGACCAGCAAGACTCCAAAGGAACTGAGTGCAAGGTTTTTGCCTTAGGAGTAATTGAATGCTAACAAGATTATTGAGGCAACTAAACTGAAGAAGATTTCTTACGAGGGTTTGAAGCAGGAATCCACAATGCCTCTGAATAGATCACTGAGGCAAGAAACTCACTTGGATTCATGGTGCCATGAAACATACCTTGGTTTTTGATGAGTGATTTTTGCACATATTCTCTTGAGCTCTGGATGTGGATAGCTGTGCATTCCACCTATTAAGACAAATTGTAGCATTATGGCAAGTGAGTGATTGAGAAAATTGAGAAAATTGCAATCTTCAACTCTGTGCCAAAATAAGGTTTTACTGTTTTCAGTTCCTATCTTCATATAAAATTTAACCTAGTGGTTTATTTATCCCACTGTCACGTACTTTCAAACCACAGTGGTTCTTCAAAATCTCTAACTCAATCTTTAATCTTTGTTCTCTAACATTGTTTGGATTTTAAACACTTTTTTTTCAAAGTATGAAGTATTTGTTTATTATAAATATTTCTGACTGAACTCAGAATTTCAAAGCAGAAAAGGATTGTTTCCCTGGGATGGAATATATGCACATGGACAATATTCCATATTGTTTTTAGGTGTGCATAGAGTCCCCAGTTTGCTTCTCCAGAACCTTGTGATGGCACTGTGCAAAACACAGTGTAAAATGTGGGAACACTGAATGTCATGATAAATTCATAATTTGCCTTCAAATCAAGGCTACTATTTACAACCAGACCAGAACCAGTTGTCAAAGTTTCAACATATTTTGGGATGCAAAGGTCATGGGGCAGGATTTCTTTCCTATCTAGTTCTGATTTATCATCTCCACTTTCCTATTCTAAATTACTGTGATAACTTTTTCTTAATTACATTAACTCAGAAAATATTACTAGGAAGATAACAATTAACTTTCTAAAGTTAATAAATGTTGCAGGTTGGAAAAATTAACTTTGTAAAGATTTATTTATTAATTTATTAATAATTATAGATTAATGTATTTTACTGTTTGTTTAAAATATATAGCCAACTTTTTTCTTCTTTTTGTCTTCCTGCAGATATTTACCTACCTGCAGAAAACTTGGGCTAAGTATGAGACACTGTATCTCCAAGGAGGTAGTAATAACCTGGTTCTTCTCACGGCAGTTGATCTGAACACTAAGTTACTGGTTTAGCATCTCAGCTAACCTTGCAACTCAGTCCAAAGAATCCAACCCATGTTTTGTGTCTTTTAATTTGCATTAACCTTTGTATCAATCTTTTTTTCATGATTCTTTCAGTCTTTCTAGTTATGAATCTGGACCTCACCCAATGATTTTAGTTGATTTGGCTAAAATATTTTCAAAGGGCTTGATACAAACATTTTTTATCCCTATTAATGCACAATTGAAATAGATTTTTAATGAACCATCATTTCATTGTCTAAAAGATATAAGCATTTCCCTAAAGAGAAAGTTCACACCAGTCCTGCATATTCAATAGAAACAGAAGCACCATTCTCTGTCAGTATTTTTTCTTTTCTTTTTGGGAGTTCTCTGTAAAACAGTCAGCTATTGTGCAACTTACTTTTGAGCAGATGTATTAATGGCTTTAGAAATTTGACTGCATACTCAAGTTCAGCTTTGTGGATTCTGCCAAGCTGTACTATGTGATGTTCCAAGGGAAGGCTTGCCAATTCCATAAGTTCTATGTAATCATATTCAGGTCCTATTGAAAGCACAACTACAACATAGCCTTCACATTTGGCTCTTACGGCTGCATCACTCAGTTCTTCCTTATCCCAAGGACTTGTTTCTCCAACAGATATGATAAAAATAGCCTTTTTTCCTCTCTTATTAGGTGCTTCTGAAAAGATATGATTGATTGTCCAATTTATGGCATGGCCAAGTGCTGCTTCTCCATTTAGTTTCTCAAAAGACTTTTCAATATGCCTCTTCATTTGTGTTTTATTTTCATATGTCACCAAGTCAAATTCAACTTTTACTGGAAGCTTCTTTTTTTTTTGGAATTGGAAATTCAGTGGTGCATGACTCACAACAGCTATCCGATCACCTATCAAAGAGGTCTTTGGATTTGTAGAAATGTCAAAGCTTTCCAATGCTCTACTTAGGAAATGTTTTAGTTCTTCAAATCCAGTAGTGCTTATTTTCCTGGAATTTTCAAGAATGAATGCAGCATCCATATAAGCCTCAGGTTTGAAAGGTGGAGTTATTAAGCAAGATTCTGGTTTGCATTTGTCTACAAATAAAACATAAGTATTTTAATTATAGAAAATTACTGAAATTGAGATCCAATGACTTTGCAATTTTCATGTGTTCTTACCATAGCAAATTACGCACACGTGAAGTTTTTTTAAGGCTGAAAGATCACTCTGCTGATGGAGGTTGATAACTTGAAACAATCCTGTGTTGTCCATCTAAAGTAATGGAAAATAAAAATATAGCTTGGTACAGCTTGGCAACAAGATGTCTGACTCTATCTGCATCATTACTAAATCAATGACAGTTTGCAGGACAATGTTTGATAAGAATTGATGCTTGATAGCTGAGATTTCATAAAATATATATTCTCTTCATCATAAGAAAGATGTCCTTAAACCACAACTAATTAAGTATAATAAAACTGCAAGAACAGAAAAACTTCTGTTTTCTGCCCATGAAATGCATAGTACCAAAGGATAAGTACTTTTTTCCATTTTATCCACAATAACTTCATGATATAAATACGATACATTGTCTTTGGTACTGTGCCATGGTGCTATGCTGGCAAGACAAGTAAACTCACACCCCTGTTTCGGATTTCAAGTTTATAATCCTTTGTGCAGAATTCTAGAGCCAAGGTGGCGCAGTGGTTAAATGCAGCACTGCAGGCTACTGCTAGATCAGCAGGTCAGCGGTTCAAATCTCACCGGCTCAGGGTTGACTCAGCCTTCCATCCTTCCGAGGTGGGTAAAATGAGGACCCAGATTGTTGGGGGCAATATGCTGACTCTCTGTAAACCGCTTAGAGAGGCCTGAAAGGCCTATGAAGCGGTATATAAGTCTACTGCTATTGCTATTGCTATTGCTATTCTAGTCTGTGAAGACAATACGGATGAATTAGCGAGACAAGATAATGTTAGGCTATTTGGTCTTCATTTCAGGATCCTTTTATGGGTGGAGGTTATTTCAATTTTAAATCAATACTGCCTCCCTATGTCCAACTCACTTCATTAGGCTAAGCCAATCAATTATTCTGAATTAATATTTTGCAAAAACACTTTTTGCATTGGATCTCCTGGAGTTGTGATGTAGAAATTCTTGCCTTGTTCCATTGCTTGATTTAAGAGATTCCCACATTCCTCTTGCAACTAAAGAATTGTGCTGATTTGCCAGTTCCCCTCTTCCTCCCTGGCTACTTCGAAGAATGGCTTTATCCTTCCCCATAGAAAATCTGGATTCAGTTTTATGCCTCTTTTCTCACAGTGAAAAAGAAACTCAGAAAAAGGCATAACCACAACAAAGCCAGAAACACATTAGTGTCTGGGTTTTTGCACTCCAACTACCACCTGTTGACTATCTGGAAGGAGTCCTGGGAGCTCCATAGGAATAGTAGATGGAATCAATATAGATATGTATTGAATAGCATAAATCTGCAGGACAGAATAAAAGGTCTATACCAATGAAAAGGCCTTCATTTATAAAATTTGATCTGTAACATTTAAATATCCTATCAGGCTCAGTATATGCTAAAATTTTTGAGGCAGTGCTTCTGATAACCAAAAAGAAAAAAGGCAAATTTCTCACCTCAAAAGCTTGGATAATTTCAGGGATGTTTTTAAAAGTAATGACTGCTGGCTGGATACCTAAGGCACTGAACTCTAGGACTGCTGTACCAATCGAGTCAGGAGGGTCAGACTCTCCATTGCTGAAGAAGACAGCAACTTTCCTCACATTATTACTTTGGAGAGTTCGCTTGAAGAGATGCCTGGCAACAAACCTCATTGATCCACCAATGTCTCGTCTGTTGGTTGTTCTCTGCAAAGAAAGTCTATTGAGCTCCTGTAACAACAACTTCTTGCTCTGGAAATCTGTGAAGCGTATCAGATAGTTTGTGTTGGAGCTGTAGGACACAACAGCCACTCTTGCTCCCACAGGACAGTTGCTCTCTCTGATGTTTGTTTGGTTCACAATATTAATGACAATCTTTTTCATTTCTTTAAATATCTCAGAATTTGTATCTTGAGATACATCCAAAGCAAATACTAATTCTGTTGGATATGCTGGACATTTTGGTATTTCTGGAAAGCAAATAAGATTATAAAAATAATCATATATTGCACAAGGATAGCAATCAATAATATTGGAAGACAATCTTTTTGGATGGAGTAGTTATCTTGCCCTTTTTAGGACTCTTTATGGTTACAAAAGTAGATAGCACAACAAAACATAACAAGCAGAACTGTGACACATATGTATACTAGAATAGAAAAGAAGAGAAGAGAACAAAACAGAACAGAACAGAATAGATTTATTGGCCAAATGTGATTGGCCACTCAAGGAATTTGTCTCTGATGCATAAGCTGTAGTGTACATACAGGCAGCAAGTGAAAAATCATGAACATAATCATAAAATAAAATAATCATAAATCATAAGGTACAACAGTCAGTGATACTCATAGGATACTAAATAAGCAATCAACATAAATCACATAGTATACTAATAAAAGCAATCAACATAAATCATAAGATAAAAACATAATGGTACAAAGCATTTAAAAGAGGAGCAAGCAAAGCACCTATCCTTCATTAATAAAAGAGCTGCATTCTTTGGAAGGCATGCATTCTGAAGCAGCTGCATCCTTTATCTGCATTTAACTCTCCAATAATCTTGCTTCAAGTGCCTGTTCCCACTCTGCTATTAACAGTGGAGCAAGGGCTGTATGTGGAAAACAGAAAAATAGTTTTTACAAAAAGCAGATGAAGCTGCACAGGCCTGAAGTCATTATTCCTTCATACAGAACAAAAGGAGAATTAACTGTGGGAAAAAATACTTACTTGTCCAGCAAGCTAAACAGAAGAAAGAAAGGAAAATATTATTTCAAGCAATACGATATTGAAAATTCTTAGAGAGGAAATACTCTTATAAGATTATCTTATTAATGATTATAGGTATCCTATAATTGCCTCAGGAACAATGTGTACAAAAAGGAAGCTTGGTAGTGTTATCTCTTTTGTGTAAATGTTTGAATTTTTCACACCAGTACACCATCACACTGGGTTTGATCACTTAGCCTCAACCACTTGCTAGTGCTCTCATATGTAAACAACCATACTTTTCATATTTTTGACCAAAGAGCTAATGTGTTCTTGATGTATATACATTACCAGAAACTTTGAATGACTAGTGGTATAATCACTTCCACTTCTAAGTGGAAAAAATAGTAGACAATTAACATACTGTAGTTTCTAAACTAGTCAAAGAACCGTAATCTAACACGAGCTTTTAGTGGCGCAATTTTTTTTTTTCTGGTGTCCTCAGTTAAGAAGTTAGTGATGTAGTTTTGGTTACATAACCTATGCTTATTCTATTATGTTTTTATGCTATTATAATCCCATAAGAATCAAACAACATGATTTGAGTCTTAACCAAACTTGTAACCATTTTTAATGGGAAGCAGTATGCATATATTTTAAATAAACAAAATGCAATTAATTGGAACTAAAGCCTCACTGTTCCCATTATAGATAATTAAATTAAACCAATATTTTCTTATATATCATATTCTCAGTTCTTCCCAATTTATGCTCTTGGTTGATATTTCTGTTATTTAATATTAAAGATGAAGCGGAGACACTTACTGCTGTGTTTCTGTACATATTCAATAAGTTCACAAGACTGAAAAAAATGAAATGTAAAAATATTATTAGATAAAGAGGTTTTCAAGAATGTGTATTAATGGTTTAATGCAATGTTCCAAAGTTGGCACCTTCTGTGTGTCCTGACTCCTGAGGCAGCAATATCAGGGCACTATGGATTTTTTGTCAAGGATTTTTATCATCATTCTAATATATTTTGAAAATATTAGAATTTGTTTCAACACATAAGGGATGATCAGATTTCAGTTTCTCAAATTTAAATGCTCAGTGAATAATCCTAATTCAGCTTTCCATTAATTCTATTTGGATATTGGACAAGCTTACCACTGAGCAATCTCTCACTAATACTCACAATACTATAAAAATTATGTAGCATCCTCTAGATATCCATATGATCAACATATGGGTTTGATGTCTGCATGTGTATTAGTATTCATGTCAGAAAAGGTCTCAATGGAACATCCTTACTTTAATGAAAGCCAGTGTGTATCTGGGTGTAGAAATAAATGTATGATGAGAAAATACAATCTATTCATTCTGATAATACATACTGAATAGGACTGGCCCTTTGCTCCTTTTGGACCCTAGAATAATAAAATTAGAATTAGAGCTTTCCAAAATAATACAGTATAGCATCATCTCCAAGTTTAAGATTTTGATATCATAAAGTGAGAACCTCTGTACTGACACAATTACAATGTCAGCATTCTGAGTAACACAGAAGCAGAACTCTGAGGCAGGTAGATTCTTCAAAGAACATGTTTATTGGATACATCATATCAGCATATCTAAGTTCCCACAGTTTTAGTTTAATTAAAAGAGCAAGTATTCCCCCTCCCAGATGTCACATTTTCCAATGAAAGTAGGCTGGTAGGCTGCTTGGTCACTTCTCTCCTCTTTTAACTGCCATAAGAAAACTTTTTGTTTTAACTGTTAGTCTATCTGCTTCGCCCCTCCGCCTTTCAGGATTCATGGCAAATATGAGGCAGCAAAAGATGGCTTCCACAGTTCCCTTCAGAGTTGACAGTCAGACCTCCCACCTTAACTCATATTCAAACCTTTATTGTCAGTGCACAACATGTGTAAATTGAGATTTGTTGAGCCTCCCTTAGTGTATCTCCCACCCAACATAATACAACTCACAGTGAAGACAGAAAATTCCATACCCAATAAATCATATTAACAACCACACAATCCTATTTCACCAATGTGAACATGCTGAATGTTGTGCTGGCCCTACAAGTCTAGGGAGCCTTTGAGAGCCAGGTCAGTACAGTAGCCCTTTTTTGCCCCTGTACCATGAATCTGCTGGCACCTCAGTCTTTAGCTTTTGAGTCAGACCCTCTCCCTCTTTAGCTCTTTGCCTTAGTGTCTGTTGCCTGATGGTGACTTGCGTCGCTTTCTGGAAGGGAGGCATCATGGCTTGAACCAATTCCTTATGCTTGCTGTTGTATTGTGGCATTTGTGACAAGGTATCTGCCAAATATCCTTCCCCCCAGGATATATTTCAAAGTGAAAGTGAATCGGTTGAAGTACTGTGCCCACTGAACTTGTTTATGTAAATGTTTCTGTGGTGTCCTATGTGCCTCCAGGTTTTTGTGGTTTCAAAAGACACTTAGCTTCCCTCAAGGAAGTGGTGCCATATCAGCAGAGCCCAGAAGACTGCATATGCTTTCTTTGCCCATACTGCCCACCTTCTTTCAATCTCTGGTAGCTTTCAGAAGGTGTAAGCACATGACTGTAACTTCCCCTCTGTGTTTTCTTGGAGGAGAACTGTGGCCACTGGCATGTTGCTGGCATCTGCTTGAATGATAAAAGGCTGCCTTAGGTCTGGGTGCTTAAGAATTGGCTCTTTGGCAAAGAGTCTTTTGAGCATCTCAAAAGCCTTTTGGCATTTAAGGGTCCATTTTAAGGGTTGACTTGGCCAAGGTTTCACTCCCTCCTCCTGTCTTTAATAGCTTAGTGATTGGGAGGATGATTTGAGCAAATGAGGTAATGAACTGCCTGTAGAAATTAGTGAACCTTAGGAAGCTTTGGAATTGCTTGTTCAAGGGGCTTGGCAGTCCAGGGTGGCTTTTCCCAGGTTCATTTCCACCTCCTCACTGGACTCCTGATATCCTAGGTAGTCTAGGCTGGTCTTGTGGAATTCGCACTTGGATACTTTTGCGTACAGGTTTGCCGCTAGGAGTTTCTTGAGCACCTGGCACACCAATTTGATGTACTCCTCCAAAGTTTCAGTGAAGATAAGAATGTCATCTAAATATATGAGGATCCCTTTGTACAGGTGCTCATGCAGCACCTCATTGATCAGTTGCATGAATACAACAGGTTCCCTGAAGGCCGAACAGCATCACTTTGAATTGGAAACTCCCCAGCGGGCAATTGAATGCTGTTTTCCATTCTGAATCCTCCTAAATCCTCACCCAGTAATATTCCTCTCACAGATCTAGTTTGGTGAAGATCTTCCTCTTTGCTAAGTGGGACAGCATGTTTTTCATCAGAGGGAATGGATGCATATTTTCCACACAGACACCATTAATTCCTTTAAAATCCATACATAGCCTCACTGTTGAGTCTTTTTTCTCTTTGAACAGCACCAGCATGGCCACCCTTGATTTCACTGGCTGTATGAACCCTCTGGCCAGGTTCTTATCAATGTACTCCCTTAGTGCCTTCATTTCCCTTGGGGTCATGTAGTACAGCTTTGGTTTGGGTAGTTTCACCTCTGGCACAATCTCTATTGTGCAGTTGGTGGGGTGATGGGGGGGAGTGTGTTGCATTCCACCTCACTGAAAACTTCTGTTAGGTCTTGGTATTCTTTGGGGAACTGGGAGGTCCCTGAGAGCTGTTCTGAGCAGTCCTCAACTTCTTGCTTCACTTAGTGTCCTTCAGATGCTGGACAGCTCCTCTTTTGGATGTGCTAGAAGGGGGGAGAGGGGCTATTCCTAGCCTTAACTTTCTCTCTTCTCCTTCCCACCAGATGTTGGGGGGGCATTTGTCTAGCCAGGACAGTCACAGGATCACTGTCTCAGTCATTTTGGTGGCAGTACAAAGTGGATGATCTCCCAGTCTCTAGCCTTATTGATTCTGTGAGGAGTATGGCAGGGGCTCCCCCTATCAGTGATCCATTGACCTGCTTGAATCTTATAGGCCAGATCATGGTTTTTTTCCTGATTTCTAGCTTCAGGACAGTTTGCAAACTGATTGGGCAGCAGGTGCATCCTGAGTCCATTAGGGTTCCACATCCCCCTGCACCCCAGACCTTTGTGCAACAACTTTTGCAGGGATGGCAAAGGGATGGATGGCTTCACTTACCATCAGGTCACTTTTGTCCTCAATATTGCTGTCATAGGGTGCAGGCTACTGGGTATCCCGAACTGAAGTTCTTGCTCCTTCACTTAGGGGAGGAGAGACCTTAACAGCCTAGTCAGGTGAACTTCCCCTTCTCTCTTGCCTTTCATTGGACTTCTTTGCCTTGGTGGGCTCTGGTGACTTTCCCCTTGGCTGGGGAGCTGGGACTAGACATTTGGCTGCCCAATGGACACATTTGATGGGTCCCAAGGCTCTGCAACTTGGCTGGGATTTGATCATCTCCCAGGCTGGTGCTTCTCTGGCTTTTGCTTTTGCTTTTGCTCCATAGTTCCGCGCTTCATGTATGGCTTGAGTTTGAGGTCCATTGTCATGGTTAACCAATACCATTTGTGAATCTGGTTGGGGACCTCTCAGTAAATGTTTGTGTGCAGCAGCTCACAGTCCAGTCCCTCCTTAAAGAAGTAGACCAGTAACCTCTCTGGCCACTGTCACAGCTTCCCAACCTCTCTTGGGAACTCTCAGATGTACTCCTTGATGGGCCGGCCCCTCTTCTTAAGTTTGCGGATTTCTACTTTGGCTTGCAGGGCCTGGTAATCATCTTCAAATCTAGCTCTTAATTCTTGAAGGAAGGTGTCGGTGTTCCCCAGCTCTGGTGTGTCCTCATTGTGGAATTGGGTCACCCATCCCACTGCCTCTCCTTCCAGATTCATGGTCACTGCACAGACAATTGCCTGGCCACTTTGTTAGTTTGCTGCATAGTTCTCTATATGAGCTCACACCTGATTCAGGAAGAATGCACGTTTCTCCGGGTCCCTGTCAAATGTGGCTTTCATTGGGGGAAGGGAGGCTGGCTGAGGAGGAGGTTGTAGTGGCACCCAAGCCAGAGGCCAATGCCCAGGGACTCAGTTGACTCTTGGATAGTATGCCCATGGTGGGGGAGTTTGCCACTCCATAGGGTTGTGCAGGTGGCGGGTAGAGTTCATCACCTCATGGTGGCATGGAAGGCTTTGCTGCAGCCCTGCGCTTGACTGTGCCAATGGCACCAGGGAGGGCTAGCTGACTAAACTGCTGTGACTAGACCCAGGCTGCAGCAGGATAGAGACAACGGGGTAAGTCAACTCAGGATCACTCTGGGCAGTTCAAATCTACACGCCTGTCCCATCACCTTGATGCTTATCTGATCAAACCTCTCCTGCAAGTTCTTCTCTGTCTGACCAGAGGAGAGTGATCAGGTATTACCATTCCCTGGATTTGTCCAGCTAAAGAGTTCCCCTTGCCCTCCAGTGTGGGGTGAAGGCGACTGAGTCCCACGTGGATATCAATGGGAGCCCTGGTACCTGAGGTCTTCTTCGGCCTGCTACAAGTCCCCAACAGCCAGTGCCTCCCTCCAGACTTTTGGCTGGTTCGTTTCTGGGAGGGTGACCTCCGCTAGCATTGCTGCTATCTACAGGCTTTCAGTAGGGATCACACCAGCACTAGCAACTCTGTCTCCCTCTTTCTCCATTTCCACCGCCTTTCGTGAATCTCCTCTACTCCCTTTAAAGATCGGGTGAGCAGCTGGGACTCAGTCCCGGTGGAAAGTTGGTTTATTGTCAGTGTTCTGAATAATGCATCTACCAAAAGCAGAACTCCAAAGCAGTAGATTCCTCAAAGAACCTATTTATTGGATATATTGTATTAGCACTGCTAGGGAAAACCAATTCTACAAGTTCCCATGGTTTTAACCTAACTAAAAGCAGAACTACTTCAACTTCCACCTGTTGAGATGATCTTAGTTCCCACAAGAAAACCTTTTGTTTTGATTGTTAGCTATCTACTTTCCTCCTCCCTTCCCTCTCTCAGGATTTGTGACAACTAAGAGGCAACAAAAGATGGCTTCAGCCAGGTTTGTTTCAGAGTTGACATACAACATATAACTAAGTTATCTAGATTGGAGGCAGAAAATATCTTCTGACATTTCCACAAGAAAACAGTTAGAGAGAGTCCAACAAATTTCTTACACTCTGCAATATGAACTATGCATTAATCTCCAGGGGTAGGAAACTTGCTGTTTGCATGTAATCCCATTCCTATTTAAGTGGCCTCTTGATTTAAAAATGAACTTCTTAATATCATATTGTCCAAATTATTTTAAGTGGGGTGGTTTTCATTGTCTTGAAAATTAATTAACCTAGTCTTCCTCCAAATCCTTTAAATCCCAACAAAGAATATCTGCTCTAACATAAAACTAACAATGGTTAATTTTAATGAGTGTCAATTTTAAAGTGTTCCCCAATGAAAAGGTATACAATTATGACCTAATCAAAATTAGCATTCTTAACCTTTCTGCAGACATAATATGGGGACATATTTAATGCTAAAAATTGTGACAGAGGTTTGAATCAAAAGAAGTCCCAAACTGAATGATAGGATGTTATTCCTATCTAGAATGGTTTCTTCATTATATCTAGAATGGTTTCTTTATTATAGTTTATTTCATTATAGTTAAAAAGTTAGTAAACCTCTATGGCTAAACACATTTTACTAAACAATTTTTAATTACATGGATTTTTAAAAAGTCGTTGCAATCAGGTTTATACACATATTGCTGTGCATAAATTGTGGATTATAGGCCAAAATAATTAAGTATATGTGTGCATTGCATTAAGCCAGTGGTGGGTTCCGGATCCCGTTGCAACCAGTATGGTGCAACAGGCCTGGCATCCCCCACATGTATGCATGCCGCACACATGTGTGCATACACATGCAGCATGTGCGCACACACACGCATCACGTGCATATGTCCTTACCTCCATGATGCCTCTGTAACACCTCCGTGACTTCTCCTCAACGCTTCAGCTGCTCGGCGCGCAGAAGCGCCAAAGAGCTCAAATACACATCGGGTGGGCCCTCCGGAGCACCGTACTTGGGCATACCGCTTGCAACCTACTACTGCATTAAACAACTCTACCCTTACTTTACCTTCCTTTGTGATAGTTATAAATTATAAATTGATCCAGTAAATTACTATAGAACTAGAATCAGAGGTTACCTAATGAAATTGAATTCTGGAAGAATCAGGAACAGATAAAAGAGGTTTTATTTTTACATATAGTTAAATTTTGGAATTTGCTATTAGAAGATATGGTACTGGTTATCAGTTTTGTTGGCATCAAAAGAGGACAAATCATTGTAGTCCTGGAGATCAATGGCTATTAATCTGGATAGCATATTATGACTGCCTCTATAGGCTATCTACTGGGGCACTAGAGGGCTTCCTTGTTATGTCATTGTGAAAACAGTCAGTGTATATTCTTATATTTTCAATAAACAAGATGTCACAGACATGCAAATAAAGGGAGGAAAAAAACATAGTTGCAATCAAGGATTAATCACCCTGATCTATATATGAAACTTAACTTCAGAAGATCAAAATAAATGCATTTAAAATTGATAATTCTTTCAAGAGGACCATGATCAAGGGCTTTTTGGACCCTTAAAAGATTTATTATAATTCATTAAGACTTTATCTAGCTGAAATAATTGAAATAAATAAACAATTCACATCTAAACAGAAATCAATTCAAGGTCAATTACAGTAATTAAGATGCCTAATTTTGGCTGTACTTGATAAACCATTCAGATAATTTAGTATCTTTAGGGGAGGGGAGACGATAGAACTAGAAAAATGTGCATATTAAATTCCAACTGTCTTCTACTTAAAGTTGACACTTGTATAGATAAAACAGCACAGCTTCAATTAATTAATTACTTACCAGGTGTCCAGGATAGCCCGGTGTTCCTACTTCACCATCATCACCAACTAATCCTAGAGTACCCTGAGAAACAAAAAACGATTTGTTTCAGGAGCAATATAAAAGATTGCATATTTATATACTCCCAAACAGAGGCAGCGGTCTTTCAGAAGCAAATGTGGGAAAGAATAGTATAGTAAAAATAATAATATTTTTAATAATGATTTTTTAATAAGAATTGTAGAGTATGTATTACTATCATCCAGAAAAACAATTTTCCCACTGCCCACTTCTCTAGGGCACCACTACCAGACGTGAAATTAAGCAGGTTTTGACAGGTTCTGGAGAACCGGTAGCAGAAATTTTAGTAGTTCAAAGAACCAGCAAATACTACCCCTGGCTGACCCCAAAGTGGGGTGGGAATGGAGATCTTGCAGTATCCTTCCCCTAAAGTGGGTGTGTGTGTGGAGATTTTGCAGTATCCTTCCCCTGCTGTGTCCCCAAGCTATGTCCCCAGAATTGGTAGTAAAAAAATGAATTTCACCACTGACCACTACCATAATGCTAGGATTTCCTTAGACATAGTCAGTTTTTGCTAGCAAAGAATAATGATGAAGTTGTCTGCTTATACAAATAGAGGCTATAGCTCAAAGTAAGGTAGTCCTGACAGAGCCTGAGTGTGATAAGTATTGCAAACCTTCCATCAAATACATTTTTGTCCACATGTCACTGCTGTTTTCTAGGCCAAAGATATCAGCAATTGCTTGAGAAGTTATAATCTAAATGGACAAACTAATTTCACAAAGTTTGGAAATCTAGTAAGATTTCAGCTATATCATTTTAGGACTCAGAAGAACCATCTGAAGAAGTCACAGGTGACTCTTTCATATCCATTTACATTATATTGACAGAGATCCTGCTGAAAGATCTCAGTTTTATAATGAGACAAAGCCCAAGCTGTGCTGTCAATACATATTCCAAAGCACAAATAAACAAAGCATGATTCTCCATGAGGATTTCTGTGGAATTTTTTTATAACTGAATATGTCATACAGAAGTTTACATTTTGAGCCCAACTCTTGTGCATTTGAAATTTGATTATTTTATGTTGAAATGAATGTCAGTTGCTTCAAGCCACCAAATGAATCATAATCATAAGTACACATGTGTGCGCATGTGCGAACCACGAATGGCTGCTATTCCTTCCCCGCTCCGACTAGGTGAACGGAAAAACACTGGAAACATTACCGAGCCTGGTCAGAACAGATGCGAGAGGGAAGCTTAAAGGTAGAGGGTGATTCGGGGGTCATGAATGGGTGGCTGTCGGAGGGTTGCGGCTCTCCGAACGGCTCCCAGGCTGTACGATCGCCCCTGGTAGTCCTCCGACTCTCTAATGATAGAGGAAATGGCGGCATGCTGACGGTGCTGCTCCCCGGCGGTTTTCAACGCGCCCAGCGTCTTTTGACTTTGCTGCAGAGCTCTCGACTGGGAGAAGCCCCAATTCGAACTTTCGGTGGACAGTGGTGCCGGAGAGGGGGTGGCTGAATTCGGGTGGCACTGAGGAGCCCTGGCGGCTGGCTTCGTTTGCTTTGCCCGCCGCCGTTGCGTTCCTCCCGGAGGCCCCCCCCCCCCATCGCTTTATCAGCTGGCGACGATCTGGACACATCCCAGCCTTTCCCTGGCCTTCTCCAAGCTTTTGGTTTTGTTATTTACAACT